TTGTCCTTGATCAGGGAGCGGGGTTCTCACCCATGGCCAACCAGCCACACCCCCTCCCTTATACCCTCGTTCCAATCACTACTCTCAGATGGTCCTTATCACCTCTGGGTATTGGCAAGGGCCACCTCCTCCTAGCTGGCCTTCTAGCCTGCAGTCTTGGTAGGACATCTTCCTTCAAACCTGGGCCTAGAACCACCCTTTCTGTGGAGACTTCTCATCTTGCTTCTTCCCTCTTTTGGAATTCCCTGGCCTGGGACCTACCTTGCTTTCTGTGCCTAGCAGACAGCATCATAATGCTTTTTCAGGGGCAGCCTCCCTAACACCAAGTGCTGCCTGAGGGCAGTATGTCTTCTGCCTTCTTCTCCCCCAGTGCCTGGCACAGGAGTGGACACAGAGCTGGTGTTTGACAAGTGTTTCGCAAATCTACGTTCCATTGATTGAGTTTTCGAGGTCTTTGCCAAGAGGGTGCAGCTGTGCCTGGGGCTCACTCGGATGCTGCTGAAACTGACGAGAACCAGAGGGTCGGTTGTCTCCCTCTTGGTGCCACCACCCAAGGGCTGGGTGTCCCTGGCCACTACCATCTTTATCGCCCTCATCGTCACTGAGATTTACCGAACACTTGCCCTGTACCCTGTCCTGTGAGGCCTCTTGGTAAGGTCGCTCTTTTGATCCTCGCCACAACCCTGCTTTGGAGGGACAATTGAGGCCCACTCGCATTCAAGTCTTAAGTTCAATGATAGCTTGACGTGGGCACGCTGGTTAGAAACAGAAGTTGGCACTGGGACTGCCGGGGTGGGATGGGGCCTGGTGGACCAGGGGGAGACCCCTCTGCGGGAGTGGTGACCCAGGACACTGCAGGGGCAGAAAGGCCACCTGGAATAATGCCCGCTCCTCCCAGGTCTGTGTGGGTTGGGCCCATGGGGATGCCAGGTTGGCTGGGGGCTCCTCGGGGTCCCAGCCAATTGGCTAACGAAAAAGCCCGTTTCATCAGGGCCCGCCCTGGGCCCCACCTCTGTGTCGCTTTGAGCTCGGTGGAGAGGCCGCCTTGGCCCAGGGGAGCAGACAGAAGCCCGGGAGCGCCCTGCACCTGTGCCCGCCTCTGGGCACCTCCCAGAGCCAGGGCTACAAAGGGGTCCCGTCACTCCCAAATCTGCGTCCTCAGAAAGTCTCGTCTTTCCGGGCCTGCCGCGATTCCTCGGGGTGGTCACAATGAGTCAGGGAGAGTCGGTGAAAGAGGGGTCCGGAACCAGGCCCTCCGGCCTGACGGGGACACCGGGTCACTCTGTGAGTTTGAACAGCTACCTGCCCCTCTGAGTCTCAGTTTCCTCCCTATGAAATGAGGGGCAGGGCTAAAGGCTGGCCCCACCTCCGTGCCGAGGCTCCCGAGTTCAGTCCTTCGCCACCAACTCAGGCACCGAGAAGGCAGTGGGCCTAGGCCAAGGATAGTGGAAAGCGTGTGACCCCGAGTCAATGGGGAGAAACCCAGGTATGGGGACGTGCTCGGGACATTTGCAAACGTTCCATTCCCAAATAAGCCCCTGAAAGCGGCCGCCGCAGGAGATAGACTCCGAGCAGACAGATGCACCAGTGAGTTTTATTGGTGTGAACGCAGCAGCCACGTTGCCTCGGAGCCTAGCAAGGCGTGAGGGTGAGCAGCGTGTCTTCCCGCACTGTGTCTTCGCTACAGAAATTGTGCCTGGGGACAAAAGGAAACTTTGTAAGCGTTTGGGCCACCTTAGAAAAAGGAGGGTGATTTTTCTTTCTTAAGGGGTTAACCCCAGGTCACAGCAGATGAGTGATTCAGGAGGAAGTGGGGGGAGGGGGACACTAGGGCTGGAGCTGCAATCAGCGCTTGCAAAACTTGCCTCCTGGAGGCTCTAGGACAATGTCTGCTGTGGGTCTGGAGTGTCACACAGGATGGTGGCCTCTGAAGGCAGGGCCTCTCACCCTCTTGTCCCCACAGGCACGTGGCGGCCTCCATAGGCTCAGCAGCTGGAAGGGGACAGCGGCCACCACGCCCTGAGCACTTCTCATCTGCAGCCAATTCTGCTGCATAATTCACTTGTACAAACTTCATCCTCACCACACATGTGCGAGGGTGTCTGATTATTAGTCCTACATTACAGGAGAGGAAACTGAGGCACAGAGAGCTCCCCATTAATCAGCAGAATAACAAAGATGCAAATACAGGTCCATCTGATGCCAGAGTCCGTATTTTCCATGGTAGGATCACATTTCAAACCTTCCTTCACCTTGTCGTCCAGCTCTGGAGTGGAGGGACCAGGCGTTCCTCCCTGGAGTTCCCCATGACCTTGCCCTTCCATGTTTGAGTGCTTTGGGGCTAGTTATCTGAGGACTCTGAGCAATGAAGTAATAACTGGGAAGCTAAGGCAAATCAAGATTTTGGTCCAAGCTCTTTTTGGAATCCTCTCATATTTTTTAGTATCCTCGTTGGGGTTTTAATTCCTATTAAACAACCTGCCCACTAGGATTCCCTCCAATGACACAGCATCAAAAAAGAAAGGCAAGGCCTGGTGTGGTGGCTCACACCTGTAATCCCAGCAATTTGGGAGGCTGAGGCAGGTGGATCACTTGGAGGCCAGGAGTTTGAGACCATCATGGCCAACACGGTGAGACACTGTCTCTACTAAAAATACAAAAATTAGCCAGGCATGGTGACTCATACCTGTAATGCCAGCTACTCGGGAGGCTGAGGCCCAAAAATCTCTTGAACCCAGGAGATGGAGGTTGCAGTGAGTTGAGGCTGCATCACCACACTCCAGCCTGGGCAACAGAGTGAGACTCCATCTCAAAAAAAAAAAAAAAAAAATAGAGAAAGGCAACACTCTTCATTTGTAGAAGAGGGGTCCCTCCTCTGACTGTTGAGAATTCCATGACAAGAATGCAACATCCCATGACGGCAAATGTAAAAGGTCTTATAATAAACAAATACAAAAAAAATGCAGATGTAAGCGGTTATTATTATGGTTGTTCAAGAACCACGGACTTCTCTCAGGCCTCGCCACCTGTGAGCTCGGAAGCTTTGCCCCATTCCTCACTTGTCTTCCTTGGCCCCTTTCCACCTTCTCTTTCGTGTTTCATTTATTCTTCCATGAAGCCTTAACCCGGCATTGGAGACCTCCAATCATATTCCCGGCACTTGTGCCCCGTCGCCCCTCACGCACCTGCACTGTTGCCCTGCCCCTGTGCCCTTCCTCCCTCCTCCTTCCTGCTTCATCTCAAGAGCTGCCCGTCCTTCCATCACAGCCTCCCTGGGCCTCTGCTTTCCTCCTTGGCCACTCTCCCTCTGAGCCTCTCCTGGGAGTTCTTTATTCCTTCATTTGACCTTTCCTGTGAACGATAAGTCTGATTTTTCTCAACAGCTAAACTGCAAGCCCCTTGAGTATAGGCTCTGTCATTACATTCCTTACTATTTGCGAGGCCGTATAATAGGTGCTTAGTAAAGTCGTTTGCAAGGGTACATTTACGATAGGTACTTAATAAAAAAAGAGAGGGGGACAGGGAGAAATAAGGAGGGGGAGGGCTGCCTTTCTCTTTGGATACTGTGCCATTGTAGGGAATCCTGGTTGGCAGGTTCCTTAGTGGGAAGTAGGAATTGAAACCCCAATGAGGTTACTAAAAAATATGAGGGGATTCTGAGAAAAGCTTGGACGAAAATCTTGATTTTCTTTAGCTTCCCAATTATTATTATTATTAAATGTTACCGGCCATTTTCCTAACAGGAAAATATTTGAGTAATTCAACTAATTCAATGTTTTTATTCCTCAAACTAGTTTAAGAGATTTGAAGCTGGTTTTGACTTTTCTCTGCTTAAAACATCTGATGTCTCATATCCAGATGCTCTTAAGAAAGAGCCTCTCTGGAGCAGACAGCTAGGGGAGCTGCACTCAGCCACTGGAAGGCAGGTGACAGCTGATGGGCTCAGGGCCTCAGGTGTAGCCTCAAGTACATTGTATTCTATTTGCAGAAAGTTCAGGAAGCCTCAGCCTTTCCTTAGAAAACCTGGAAGATGCCATGCCCTGGCTGATTTGGCCTCATATGTCTTACCTGTGAGCAAGTCATCTCCTGGGAACGCCTCTTATTTTTAAGATTCTAAAGATGCCACCACCTGGCATGTGTTTAACCACATAGTCCAGGATCCAGGCCATGGCATGCTTGCAAATGGAGCCTGGGGGAGCTGAATTTAAGAGGCTGAGTATCCTCCAATGGGGTCAGGGAGGAAAGGACTTGGCTGTACCTCCAGCCTGCACAGGGCTGCCCACCAGCCCAGTCCAGCCTCCTCAGCACTATACGCTAGCTTATAAGTCCTCCTGGTTCCACTGACCACCTGGTAGGGCCAGCCTCTTTATTCTCCTTGCCTCATGGGGATAGGGAGAACCTTGCTGGGTCATCCAGTTCAAGGAGACCCAGATGTGAGTCAGCCCCCATTCTACTCTGCTACCCCACCCTCCCCACCTGGGGAAGTGACAATCTCTGGAACCTGAACTCGGTGACTCCACCTAATTCCAAACTTCAAGAGCATCAGTGTCTGAGAGCCCAGGATCTCCTTCCCACAAAGCCACATGTTCTACTGGCCAGAGTTGGGGTCTGAGGTTTGAGAGGCAATTGTTCTGCCCTCTGAGGTCACCACTCCAACTTTCCTCCAGCTGTCCCTTTTCTCTACCCAGAGCCCTGTTCTTATTCAGGCCCAAAGCCAGGGAGATCACAGGTCAGGATCCCACAAGCATTGCAAACCTAGTGCTTTCTTGTCCTATATAAAATTTTATGTTTTCCTAAAACCAATTTATTTTTTGTTTTATTATCCTGAAATATGATTGGTCTTCTCCTCTTTCAAGTATAGCTATTCACTAGCCCACACTTACAAACTTGTACCCTTCAGAAAGGATTTCTTGTTCTCTTTCTTGTATTTCCTCATTTTACCTTGAAAGTACAGTCTTTTCTTCTGTATTCCCACAGGCAGCGCTGAAAACACCCAATAGGTGAATAATTTAACTCAAGACCTGAGAATCAATATTGTCAAAATTGACCTTATATAGCAAAATCTGGGCCTGTTTGGTATAGATTTTCTCGAATCTATATATTGCAATAAGGTGCATCCAACAGAAACATTTTATGCTCTTTGTCAGTTGCTTGTCTGTCTGGGGAGAAGATGCCACAGACGGGTAAATTTTTCTTGGGTTTTCTTGCTTCACCACACCTAACTTTCTAGGATGGGTTTTCATTGTAACATGAATCTCTATAAACATTTTTAGACACAAGCCAGCAAAGATACATACACTGTCTTCTCTTCTCCCTTTTGCACAGTGATCTTGGCAGCGCCCACTTTGGGGAATGTTGGATTGATCACATTGTTATTCCAAAGAAACTTGACTTTCTCAATTTTTCCAACATCCAGCTTTGCATCAAACTCGTGGGAATGGGTCGAGCCTGGTTTGAGAATACCCCTTGAAATAGAGACACAGAAACATTCCTGTTCATGGAAATGAATTCTAATAACCATACAAGGTCAGGCTGCTGTTTTCTATTCTAGGTTAACAAGACTATTTTTCTGAATTAATTTCCAAATAAAGAATGGAGAAATGGAAAAGCCAGCTATATGTTAGCACCTCAAACTAGGATTTTTAAAACTCAAGTTAATTTCTCCTATAAGCTTTCTTATAGGAAAGGAATAGTGGGGGCGGAGGGAGGATTGGGAAGGGATAGCATTAGGAGAAATACCTAATGCAGATGACGGGGTGACGGCATGTGTATACCTATGTAACAAACTTGCATGATCTGCACATGTACCCAGAACTTAAAGTATAATTAAAAAAAAGAAAATAAAATAGAATTCCTACATATTATTTTATATTTTGGGGAAGAATTATTTGTAACAAATTAGCCCTATAATATGGCACAATAACCATGTGTTATTGTACTAATCAGACAAAAGGATGTCTGAAGTAATATTAAATTTATGTTTTAAAAAATCATCTATTAAGAGAGAAAGAGGCCAGGTGCGGTGGCTCATGTCTATAATCCCAACACTTTGGGAGGCCGAGGTGGGCAGGTTGCTTGAGGTCAGAAGTTGGAGACCAGCCTGGCCAACATGAGGAAGCCCCATCTCTACTAAAAATACAAAAAAATCAACTGGGTGTGGTGGCACATGCCTGTAATCTCAGCTACTTGGGAGGCTGAGACACGAGAATCACTTGAACCTGGGAGGCAGAGGTTGCAGTGATTTGAGATTGTGCCACTGCACTCCAGCTTGGGTGATAGAGTGAGAATCTGTCTCAAAACAAACAAACAAACAAAAAATGCCTAGGTTTACAATAGTGAAAAGAAAAATGATTGGAAGTCTGCGATTAACTTTAGTACATAAAGTAATATAGACATGCGTTGCTTAACAATGGAGATATGTTCTGAGAAATGTGTCCTTAGGTGATTTCATCATTATGTGTGTGAACATTATAACATGTATTCACACAAACATAGACTGCACAGCCTACTACACACCTAGGCTGGATGGTACAGCCTATTGCTCCTAGGTTACAAACCTGTACTACATGGTATGTACTGAGTTCTGCAGACAATTGGAACACAATGGTAAGTATTTGTGAATCTAAACACCCGAACATACAAAAGGTACATAAAAATACGGTATTACAAACTTACAGGGCAACTGTTGTATATGCGGTCCGTCAATTAAAATGTTGTTATATGTTGTATGACTATAATTTAAAAACCATAGGCATATAAAGAGATGATAAGCATTCAAATTAAGTGTGTGGTTTGAAGGCCGTGGATATCATCAAATGAGATGTGGTGCTAAATAGGAAATTACCTGAAGACATCGTACTGGTGAGTGTTTCCCTTATCTCCAAACAAAGCAACTTTGATCTGACCAGTGGCTGTTTTTCCAGACAATGTGATGGAAACTCCATATCTCCAGCCTGCACAGGAGTTGGAAGAGTTCAATTTATTCACACACAAAATAGGTAGCCTACATCCCAGATTTGTCTCCTTCTCTTACACTGAGGCATCAAAGCACAAGAAATTCTTTTTTTAAAAAAAAATATTATTTGTTTTGAGATGGAGTCTTGCTCTGTCACCCAGGCTGGAGTGCAGTGGTGCAGTCCTGGCTCACTGCAACCACTGCCTCCCAGGTTCTAGCTATTCTTCTGCCTCAGCCTCCCTAGTAGCTGGGACTACAGGCATGCACCACCATGCCTGGCTAATTTTTGTATTTTTAGTAGAGACAGTGTTTCACCATGTTGGGCAGGCTGATCTCAAACTCCTGACCTTAAGTGATCTGCCTGCGTCAGCCTCCTAAAGTGCTGGGAACACAGGCATGAGCCATCATGCCCAGCCAAAGTATAAGAAATTCTATTTGTTAATCTAGAAATCAAACAAGACCTTAAGAAGAAGTATGTATTCAGCAGTATCGCCCTCCAGGACTGCACTGCCCAGTAAGGAGTTCACTAGCCTCATGTGGCTGCTTACATTTAAATCCAAATTAAATAAAATTAAAAATTTAGTTTTTCAAACTCATTAGCTGTGTTGTAAATGTTAAACTGCCACATGACACTAATGGCTACACAGAATATGCCCCTCATTGTAGAAAGTTCTGTTGGCCAGTTCTGTCCCAGAATGGCAGTACAGTGAGCTAAGGTGAAGAGAGAAGGAATGGGGGCTTGTCTCCACATTTGGGAAGGTAGCTCAGGAGTGCAGCCTGGCAAGCACCTCGAGGGTGAGGGTGTTTGTGTCCATTTCTAAGATAATCAAAATGTACCCACAAACATTTCAGGTTAAAAGCAAGCCCTTCATTTATAACAGAACCTATATGCTTTCTTCATATGGGCAGGTAGTCAAAAAGCAACTTACGAGTGAAATTGCTAGCTTCTCCTGTGTTCAAGAAGAATTTCTGCTGCTCTCCACTTGTCTTGCCAGCAAATTTATCAGCATAGTGACCCATCTGTGGGCACCCTTGATCTGGACAGGGGAAGCACTTGTCCTAATGAGAAGAGATGGATGAGACTGTAAGGAGAATTTGACTTTTTATGATTGATATATCTGAGGGAGCAGACACTCAATTTTCCTACGGCTTGAGTGTTCTCCTTTGTAACAGCAAGGGGGTTGGAGCAGATGATCTCTAAATTACCTTCATCTAGGTCAGGGTTCCCAACTCTTAGGCACAACATATTAGAATTATTTGAGGAGGTTTAAAAAATACTGATGCTCAGGAACTAGTTTAGATCAATTATACCTTCCGTGAGTGGTGAGGCAGTGAATGATAAGTAGCCAACTCTCTGGGACAATCAACCTGGACTGTAGTGCTTACCAATTTCAGTGGTGTAAATACTCTATGGCCAATTTCAGGCTACCAACATGATGTCTCTGAATGTGGGGTTGGGAAGGGGTACTCACACTGGCTCTTGTGAGCCAGAATAGGCAGGCTCTAGCCTGTCATTCTTCCATCTCTCCCCTTGTTGCCAGCCTGGCATGTAGGACCCCAGCATCCACCTTGCTTTTCTCTCTGGTGTGAATTATTCTCTATACATTCTTCTACTCTTGCTCTGACCTTGCCAGAAATGTGTATTCCTCTGTTTTCTAAAGTCTATCATTTTAAAGCCAGATTCAGAGGTTGCCTCTTGCAGGAAGCCTTTCTATATCATTGAATTGACTGCTCTTTCTCTCTGGTTTTCCAGTTTTCCTCTGCTACATGACTCATCTCATCTAAAATTTTAGCCACCTGCTTCTTAAGATTGTTTACTTTTTTTCCTCTTCCACTCCACAGGACCATGAACTCTGAGGAACAGTGCAAAACACGTGGTGAGAAGGCACTGCAAATCCCAAACACAGCAGGACAACAGTCCTGCAGTGGGATGATGCCCATTGCTCAAGGCAGGACAATAGCTTACAGCCTCAAAGAACTTGTAGGAAGCACAGGGGTATGCAGCAAACCCATCGGGGCTGAGGATGCTTTCCAAGTAATACTTGTAGCTTCTTAGATGATTGCAAGCCACAAAGTCCCGGGTTCCTGGGAAAACAAATAAGAAAATCTGAACAGGTGATTGGGGGTTTGGAACAGCTTCTCTGCCTCTCTCCCCAAGTGGGATGGTTCCAAAGTAGGACCATATTTTCCAAAACTTAAGATAAATCCCAAATTCAGCCACAATAATGACAATTAACATAGAGGGTGCTTTCCATGTACCGGGAAATGTTCTGATCACTTTATATGCCTTGCCTGTGTAGTCCTCACCCTTCTTAGGAGGTGAGTACCTTATCATCCCTATTTACATCCACACATTATCATCTCATCCTTATTTTACAGAAAGAACTACAGATCATAGCCTCAGATTTACAGTTTAGCTAATAGGTGGGAAAACTGGTAATTAAACCCACACCCATTTGGTCTTGAGCCCATCCCTCTAGCCTTTGTGCCATCTTATGTCCCAGGCACCATGCTGGAGGTCCTCAAAGACAAGACCAGATGTGACATGACCAAGCCAATGCAAGGACATTTTCATGCAGCAGTTACACAAATGAAAAGAAGGGCTGGGCTGGACGCGGTGGCTTATGCCTATAATCCCAGCACTTTGGGAGACCAAAGTGGGCGGATCACGAGGTCAGGAGGTTGAGACCATCCTGGCCATGGTGAAACTACATCTTTACTAAAATACCAAAAACAAACAAACAAACAAAAAAAACATTAGCCGGGCATAGTGGCACATGCCTGTAATCCCAGCTCTTCAGGAGGCTGAGGTAGGGAATCGCTTGAACCCAGGAGATGGTGGTTGCAGTGAGCTGAGATTGTGCCACTGCACTCCAGCCTAGTGACAGAGCAAGATTCCATCTCAAAAAAAAAAAAGGACTGCATAACTTTAGGTGGTTTTGTATGAGCACCACTCTCATGGTGTCTTGATTTTCTTTACAACCTTTCTTGGCTCCCTGCAACTCCTATCAAGTGACAAACGTCACATTATACCTTTGAGACCTGGCCTGAGCTTGCTGGGCCATTTCTGATGAAGAGTTTAGGTTGCCCTATGCACATAAACCCTCATAAGGCTGTGAAAGACAAACTGCATATCTGCATATGTCA